ATCATTAAGCCTGTGTTTAGGGCACCAATGGAAGAGAGGCAATGAAGAGGTTTTTTTTCCCTAGCTTCCTATAACTCTTTCACTTGCCATACTTAATTTCAGTAATTCTTTCTGTAATTGTCCTGATCTGTTATATTCAGTGGTGGGATTCAAATATGTGAACAACCAGTTCTCTGTGTGGATACCGCTTCCAGAAGTCTATTCTGGGCCTGGGCAACACAAAGTTAGCTACCAATTCTGCCGAAGTAGTGTGAACTGGCTGAATCCCTCCACTGGTTATATTCCACATTAACATGTATTGTTTAAAATGTTTTATTTGGCCAGGAGAGTGACTTAAGTTTAAAAGTTTGGTTTGAAGGTGTCACATTTGTTTTCTTCTCGTGTGTGAGAGTTTTGCTTCATCATTGTATAACTCTAATCTAGCACTAACTTACTAGAAGTTAATATTTCTTGCAGATATTTCAATGCACCTTTGCTATTTGTCATGTCATTGTTTGTAATCTGTCTATGTGATCTTGCAGCAGCTAACTAGGTGATCCATTGGTTCTTCAGCTTTTTTGCAGAGACAGCATTTGCTCCCTATTACTATCTTCTCAGTTTTGGCTTTGTGTGCATCTATTCTTAAGGCATGTCTTAGGCATCCAGATTCGGCCCTTTTGTCTCTTTCTTCAACTTTCCTGCTCTGAGTATTGCTAGGGCTTTTTGTTATCTGCTTTGCCTGCTACTTTTTATGTACTGGCCATGTAATACTTCGTCTTGCCATGTCTCTTTTCTGTTCTTCTTGGTCTTTTTTATAGGCCAGTTCGATCTCTGTAGTACTCAATAAGCCATCATACTTGTTTCACTGCATCTTCCTCACTGTTATTTAGATATCTTTCTAATGCCCTTTTTCTTCTACAACTGTGTAGTGCACTTGTAACATTCCAGCCCACCTATTTTCCATGGTAAGTAGAGTTTGTCAATATTGCTGTGTGGATGAAGGGTATGATTTATTGTCATTGTTTTTCTTATCTTCCTAACAAAGACTTTTAGTTTTGCTTGAGTCCTATCCATTATTCCAGATATGGGAATTCGATACTGTGTATCTAATGACTGGAATTGTCCAGATGCTAATTGCCTTGATGGTGTTTCCTCCAGTGAGTTTGGACTCTCCTGAAGATTAGAAGTCTAATCTTCTTGACTTCAGTGAGTTGATGTTGTCAGCTTGAAGGATATCCATCTTCATAGTGATCATCTTCATCCAGACTTTTGGTTATTTCCATAGGACATTTTGATTTCTTCAGTTTTCTCTATATTTCCACTGTTTATGGTAAACATGGTATATTTGTCCAGTGCAAACTTCATTGCAATAACTTGGTATTGGGAAGCATCCAAGCTGGCCAGAAGGATGGCTCAAACAAAGAGTTAACCTGGAGTCACTGCACAACTACCAAAGGGCTAGGACTAACCTCCTCCCCAAGTTCCTTGGAGTCGTATCTATTTCTTCCCAAGAGAAGACTGCCCCAGTCTGGAGGTTCCTGTATTATAGGCAGAATATAATAAAGTAGTTAGCTTCTGAACATGTGGATTTGGTTGTTCACATCTGACACTTGCCTGTATATATAAATAGTGCTGAATAGAGATTCTATTTTAGATAGTGTTTTTCCATACAGCTTCAGATTGTCCATATAAAGTAGTTAGGATAGCCTGGCAGATATTTTTAATCTTTGATAGCCATGGTCTGACTTGTTCAGTATTGCTGACAGAGGAATCAGTGCAATTACAAACAGTATGAGAGTGAGTCTCCTTGAAAGATGCCTCTCTTGATATTAATCTCTCCCAATCTATCACCATTGATCAACAACTATGTATTCCTTTGTGCCATTGATCTTTGCATGAAACTGTTGATGTTTCTACTGACTCCTGTTATTTTTAGGCATGTGATGATCAAATAACGTGCCAGGGAATTAAATGCCTTCTTGTACTCAACCAACTTACCTTCAAGTTAGTCTTCCTTCTTTTGCAGTTTTCTAAAATCATCTTGTCAATTTGTTTCTCTACTATTTGGGCAGTTTCCTTTCTGCTCAAGTGCAAAATTTGTTTTCAACTAGATACTGTTGAACTGTATCAACTACCTCACCAATTAGCAATTTGAACGTTGTTGGTAAGCCAGTGATTGGCTTGTAATTACTTGATGCTCCTCCTTTTACTGTATCATTATGAGGTAGATTTTGGCAGATGTTAACCAATCTTCAATTTCTCCTCCTTGTAGTATGTTGTTAAACTGCTTGGCAACGAGTGGCTATAGACCAGTCAGATGTTTCAACCAAAAACTATTCAATTCATGTTCACCTGGTGCAGACCAATTCTTGATCTTCCTTGCCTTTTTCTCTACTACTTCTGCTGTAATAATAATAATAATAATAATAATAATAATAATAATAATGAAGTTGGAAGGGACCTTGGAGGTCATCAAGTCCAACCCCCTGCTCACACAGGTAACCCTATATCATTTCTGACAAATGGTTGTCCAGTTTCTTCTTAAAAACTTCCAGTGTTGGAGCATTCACCGCTTCTGGAGACAGGTTGTTCCACTGGTTAATTGTTCTAAATGTCAGAAAGTTTCTCCTTAGTTCTAGGTTGCTTCTTTCTTTGGTTAGTTTCCATTCACTGCTTCTTGTCCTGCCTTCAGGTGCTTTGGAAAATAGCTTGACTCCCTCTTCTTTGTGGCAGCCCCTGAAATATTGGAACACTGCTATCATGAAATCAAGTTCTTTGATTTCAACTTCTTTTTATTCTTATCCTCTTCCTTTATCAAAGCTGTATTCTTGCTGTATTTCTTTCAGTTGTCCCATTGCTGCACCCAGAACTGCACTATTTCTTCTTTGTCAAGTGCCGACTTGTTCACTGCAGTCTCTCCATTCATTATTTGGTAGAAAAGTTTCTAATTTGACTGAAATCAGAGATTTGGGCTTTTAATGTGAAATTCAAATATCGTTATCTGCTGACCTTCTTGGCTATACTGTTATTTGCTGCTTTATTATTTCCAGTGCTTCCTTAATCTTTCTTGTTTCTAGGTGATATTTTTTGATTGGCTATTCTTTGATTCTTCAGCTTATTTTTTATCTATTCTAGTTTGCTTGCATTTGATCTTATCATATTGATTTTATGTTCCAGCCTGATCATTCATTTTGGGGTGCACTTTTAGCTTTTTTTCTTTGATGATTTTGTATCCCAGATATTCAGTTATAACTGCAGCTATGCTTCTGATTTGTTTCTTGCTGGGAGCTTATTGTTTTTATTATTATGGATTGATTTCACAATACTCATTCAAACATTTGTGTATTAGTAAATTGACTTCTTCTTTCTTTCCTTCTTCCAGACTGAACAAGCTAGATTTACATTATTTAATTTATTTTCCAATTCCAGTAATTGGCTTCAGTCTAGTCCCTTCAAATCTGTGATCACTCCAGTTTATAGATTCCCTAACTGGTCATACATTTCTATAATGAAATTTAAAATCAGGTTGTCATTAATTCTATATTATTGCCAATGTAGATTCTTGAAAATAAAGATTTATTGAAAAAATATTGTGATTGAAAAGCCAGTCTTTCTGATGCTGGAAAAAGTAATTTCATATACCTAACTACATATTTTGCAATTTTTCACTATAATAAGAGAATAAGAGTTGGAAAGGTCCTTGGAGTCTTCTAGTCCAACCCTCTTTTTAGGCAAGAAATCCTATACTCTTTCAGACAAATGGTAGTCCAATCTCTTCTTAAAAACTTGGAACACCCACAACTTCTGGAGGCAAATTATTCCACTGATCAATTGTTCTAACTTTCAGGAAATTTCTCCTTAGTTCTAGGATGCTTGTCTCCTTGATTAGTTTCCATCCGTTGCTTTTTGTCCTGCTTTCAGGTGCTTTGAAGAATAGGTTGACTCCCTCCTCTTTGTGGCAACCCTTTAGATACTGGGAGACTGCTATCATTTCACACCTAGTCCTTCTTTTTGTTAAGCTAGACATACCCAATTCCAGCATCTGTTCTTTATATGTTTTAGCCTCCAGTCCCCTAATCATCTTTGCTGCTGTTCTCTGTACTCTTTCAAGAGTCTCAACATCTTTTTTACATATTTTAATTTTTGTGTCAGATTCCAAGAAACTATAATAGTTAGGACGCCTTCTTTCCCTCTATTTGTCCTTTTTTCCATCTGTCTGTGCCTTCCTTTGCCCATTCAGATATCTGGTAACCCATCTAGAAATTTCATGAGGTTACCAAATATATGATTTCAGCATTGTCACTTTGAATCTTGCTATTTTTGCTATAGTTATTGTTGGTCAACATAGTAGTCATGATATATACTGCTAACCCCTGATATAGTACACTGTGTAATACCCCAGTCAGTGGGAATCAGAAGGCATCATCTCCCTCATCTGATTGGTTATTTTTTTCTCTTGAATATTAGGAATGGAAGAATCATCTGGATTTCTGTAATATTTACTGAATTTCAGAAATGTCCATTTTTTTCTGTTTTATTGTTAATTTGCAATATTTTTTTAAAAAGTTCCTATAACTATAATATGAATATGCTCCTGTCACTTCACATTAGTGTGATACAGAGTGATTATACATTTGTTGAACAAAAGCCACTGTGAAGTATTTGACTGAGCTGCCTGATCCCTGGAACAGTTTTTCATTATATATATATATATATATATATATATATATATATATATATATATATATATATATATATATATATAATGTTTTCAAAAAAATTTGTTTTCTGGAGTACAGGAAAGAATGAAAGCATGCATGAACATACACATGGTAAACTGTAATTATTAAAATATGGCCAGTTTATCCAAAGCAGAAGTTATACAAATGCATAATGGATTAATCAACTTCTGATTTGATAAAAAAAAATATATGTGCCACACAGACTGCAGAGCTAGAGTAGCAATATGGAAAGGAATGGGGATGATGATATACATTAAGTGTCTCTTGTTTCTGTTCCAGGTTCCAGTTCATCCAATTCAGCGGGTTTGCCTCCCCCACTTCCGCCAGCTATTCATGCCACACAGTCTACGGATTTATCACCACCCTTGCTTCCTCCCCCTCCTCCAGGTTTCCGTCCATCAACACAAACTCCTGTTCTCCCCCCAAGGAGGAATATCCCATCCAGATCTGATTTCAGGTACATAATAGTAAATTATAATCCTTCTTCCATATTTTCTTTCTTCTTAAAAAGTGAGAAGAACCTCTGTTCTTCTCTTCCTTGAAACATCTTCTCTATGTGCTCATAGAGAAGCCCATAAGTTTTGGTATTCATCACAGGGAGTTGCAATAAATAGCTGCAATAAGCTATGTACAGCAAAAAGCTATGGTTGTTTCATAAAGATTTCTTAATTAAGCAATACTTCACTAGGTTCACCCAACATGCTGAGCCATAAATAATGGTTTATAAAGCCACAACATGCTAAATTACATTATATATGAACTATTGTCATGTGACAATAAAAAGCTATGTTGGGGAGAGGTTATGCAAAACCACCATGATAGATAGATGGATGGATGGATGGATGGATAGATAGATAGATAGATAGATAGATAGATAGATAGATAGATAGATAGATAGATTATAAATATATGTATCTATTTACCATGTTTATTATTTTTCTAAATATTTCAAAGTGACAAAAATCTAACACTCTTTCTTCCTATTTTCTAATGACAACAACCCTGTGAGGTGGGTTGGCTGACAGAATGCCACTGGTCCAAAGTCACCCAGCTAGCTTTTATGTTAAGGCACAACTAGAAATCATGGTTTCCTGGTTTCATATTGTCCTGTTTATGTATAAAATGTAGGGCTGAGGACTGGATGGGACTTGTTTTAGTGTGGCTACTACGGCAGGTAGAATTGTACTAAGCATATTTTTTTCAAGCATGGAAATAATGTGGAGAATATTCCTTGTTCAATTTCTACAAGTGGAAGTGTTAAAATCAGGAGAGCCCTTCCTAGAAAAAGAGTTATATTCTATTATTAAAAACATAAAAACAGACTGCAGAAATTTTAACTAAACCTTTTCCAATAAACTATAAAACAGAATGGACTTTCACTTAAAAAAGAAAATATATTTCAATCAATTTCCTTTTTTTCTTAACAAATTCACTTTTGCTATTTTGTAGAGGACAAGAAAATGAAGAAAATTATGATGATGTTGGATTTGGTTCAGAAGGTAAGAAAACCTATTATCGTGGACAGAGAACAAATAAGAAGCATGTGTGGAATCTATAACAAATCAGTAATAAGACAGGAATCTGGATTCAAATATATTGACAATCAAACTCTATAAGCCAACTTCAATGTTTGAGTATCAAATACAAAAAATGTGCTATCTTAATACACTGGCTTCCCCATCCTAGAATGTCCTGACATGTGTGCTATTTTATTGGTTTCCTTGCACATGACCTATCCATTTAGAGATAATGGAGGAGGATCTACAAGGTCCATCCTCTACTTCAAGGTCTCTTGTGGCTAAGCCTCTTTTCATATAGATTGAAAGCCGGATCTCCTCTCCGCCCAATAAACATCATCAGAAAGCAGACTGAGTAGGCATGTAGATTGCCTAAATCTAGGCTTTTGCATTACAGTGGGGTCCAAAACACATTTTTCAAAGGATTTCTGAAGCATGCAGAGTCTTGTTATGATAAACTATAGTGTAATTAAAGATGGGGATTTACAGATTAAGTACAAGGATTAAAATATGCAATTCATACAAGTCATGCTACATTGAAGCATTCATGTTATATAATGAGCTAATATTTGATTTAGATGAAGGTTGCTGTCTGCATAGAACTGTTGTGGCATATATAAAGAATACAAGGAATATAATAAAAATAGTGTCATAGAATTGTGTCACAAGTCCATCCCTCTGGGCCATGCATGGAACATCTCAGAGCAGGGCAAAACAGACACAGAATTTGCATTACATCATTGCTTTTATATGTGCCTCCCCTCCCCCACTCCCTTCCTTTCCACCCTGCTGTCCCCCAACCTCCCTATATACCACTAGCTAACAAGGGCTACCCATGAGTTGGTATTTTGATTGCTAAACTGCAAAATAATGCAATTGTTTTGCCTTTTTATCCATTAGATAATGGAAATGCAGATGAAGTAAGTATTATCCTTCGTAATCTACAAATGTATATAACCTTAGGCTTTCTTTGTAGTCATTCTCCCTACTAGCTCCCATAAAACAATAATTATTTATTGTATTCGTACCTTGCCTTTTATTCTTTGAAAACTCACAAACGTTTTTTATAGGAAGCTACTCTAAGAATGATCATTCTTAGAAACAAAATGGTGGATTAGACCATGCAGATAATCAAGGATGCACTCTATGAACTCAATTTACTAGTTTTCATAGACTTACTGAGATGCTGCTAGCCAATGTGACAGACAACAGATTTGTGTAGGAGATGACCAGGCTGAGCTGAAAGGAGGGACTGATGCATCATCAGTCATGAATCCCTGTGAGCCCACAAGAGATCTAAGTCCATCCCACCTTTAATTCTTTCTATTCTTAATTTCACGAATTTTCTTTAACTGTTGTAGCCCAGATTTTTGTACAGAGCTTAAGCTTACTATAAATGTTTACACTCATTTGAACTGCCTGAATCTCCCAATTTCCCTGGCTCTTGACAGTATGCCATGTTAAAGAAGGGCTAACTAGACTCCCAAACCTTTTCTGATTCAGTAATGAAACAGTCTACTCAAGAACCAGGGAATAAAAGATGCTGAGTAGGAATGCTTCCTCTGGTACTCATAATTGGCATAAGAAGAGATGGAAGTCTTCTGCTACCATTCTTCCAGTCCCATAAGCAATGTTTCTCCACCTTGTCAAGTTTAAGATGGGTGGAATTCAAAGCCCAGAATTTCCCAGCCATCCTTCCCAAGGTTGAGAAACACTGCCATAGATTGATCACTCTGTGAAAACAGAGGACTGGCCCTAAAGGAATGTCATGAGGCCTCTTCTCATCCCTCTACTTCTCTTGCCATGGGGGATGGTGAAGAGGCATCTCCTTCTTTCCCTTCTGTCTTGGGAGGAAAAAAAAAAGGAAGAATTCACTTCTTTAGCCAAACCAGCCATGACAGCTGGAGAGCTGTTCCCCGCATCATGTGTGTATATATCCCCTATCCAGTCCAATTTGAGTATGGGAAGGTGCAGCTGATAAAAGTGTCCACAGATTGACTACAGGAGTGCCTGCTGAGCAGCCATTTCCATCCCACTTCCCTTGCCACCATGAAGATTCTCCCACCAGGGCACACTCAAGGGCACACTCAAAGAAGCAAACATTCCCCAGACTTAAATAAGGAAAGATCAGGGGTAGAGTGTAGCATGTTGGAAACTGCAGTAAAACTTGCAGGCCTCATTCACAGAATGTCATAGAATCCACAAGTGCCTTTGAATGTTTTAAATCTCTTTTCTCAGGGCTTTTTACACTTGGGATTTAACTGCCATTTATGAAATAAGCAACTAATTCCCTCCTCTGCTTTATGTATTTATGTATGTATGCTTTAATTATGTATGTCTACCTGCAGGTGCTTTCTTCCCTCTCCACAATTTCTGACACTCATCAGGGAAGGGACATGGGGAAATTGTTTAGACACCACTCTGGGGAAGAAGCAGGTCTTCCTGATGACCAGAGAATTGGCTCCCATAGACATTTTTCCCCTTCTCTGATTGTCCTATTATTATGGTTTGGCAAGAAACAAGAAAAGATGACTTGGAGGCGTAATAGGAGAGCCCAGACTCTCCTGGTACCAGAAGGCAAATGGCCCTGAAAACCAGTGGCAGGGAATTGGGGCACCTTCAGGTGGTCTGTCAGAGCAGACTAGGCTCCTGAGCATATCTTTACCTCAAAACAATGCTCTCCAGACAGGCCAGATAGCACACCTTGTGCCAGATGAAGCTAGAAAATATCATTTTATACCTGTTTCAGCTTGCCTTGTTGATATGTCAGGAATTGGTTGAATATAACATCATCCACATCCTCTAAATCAGTGGTTCTCAACCTGTGGGTCGGGACCCCATTTGGGGTCGATCAACCATTTCACAGGGGTTGTCAAACAACGCAGTCCACCATTTTTTCCCCTTTTCCTTAGCTGCGGTACTCCCTTTTATTCTATTGGCTTTGGAAAGCCAATAGAATAGAATCTCTTGAATAGAGTCTAATTCTAATGGCTTTCAAAAGCCAATAGGAATTGTCCAGGCTGTCTCTGCCCTGCTGAGCCCGCCAAAAGTCCCATTCTGCAAACGGTGCTGCACCAGTTGAGTAGTCCTCGACTTACGACCGGTTGAGTAGTCCTCGACTTACGACCAGTTGGGGGGTCGCGGCATTAAAAAGGTTGAGAACCACTGCTCTAAATCCATTTGCTGAGGTATTTCTAGCCCATAGTTATCAGGCTACAGAGGAGGGAGGAGGGGAGGGGAGGGAAGAGGGAAGAGAGAGAAAGAGAAAGAGAAGGTTAAAGGGGATTTGAACCTGGGTTTCTCTTGTACACATCTATTATCTCAAACACTCTACTGGCTCTAATCCTGTTTTTGGGTTAAAACCATTTTCCTGAGATAGATTGATTCACTAGTTCCCTGCTTTGCTGTAGGAAGCTGCATATGTTTTAACCTAGAGGGTTTCAATCAAGCCGAATCCATATATAAAATTAAGGTTTAAAACACACCAAGAGTGTGTTTTGTGTGTGTGTGTGTGTGTGTGTGTGTGTGTTTATGTGTGTGTATGCATGGTTTTCACTATTCTTATTTTTCACCAATAATTAAAACTTTTTTCCTTTTCATAAAATCAGAACAGTGATGGAGAAATGTATGAAGATATAAATGAGATGAGGTATGAACAAACATATAGAGTGGGCCTCTGATCATATTACAATAATTGCAGCTGTTATTAAATAATGACCACAATTAAAAGTTGTATGCAAAAAGATCCAAAATAAAATATAAAGCTCCACTTGAGGCATTCTAGGCATGAATTCTGGTGACCAATGTCCAATATAGCCTGATCATCCATGACTTTTCTTTTCCTGCACATTTTAGAGGTTTGTGCTCTGACCATGAGTAAGTTCATTTGCTTTTAGCTGTGACAATATTTCTTGAATTACAAAAGGCTGGAAAAAATTACATTGTGAATTGGCAAAATTTGACCATTCATTGTTCATTTTCAGGTTGCACCACTATTGTTTACCTTTTTTTAAAAAAAATCAGAAGATCTGAAAACTGATCCATTGCATCAGGTGAAGATTTTCTGACCTATCCAAGCAGACTAATTTCTCCTGGTCAGAATCTGAACTTTTGTTTTGTAAGAGGGTTAGGTCAGGTAGGATCTTCCATTTATATGTGGAGGAGTGTGATGGTATGTGGGAATGACCTTGGGAGATAGAAGGAAGACTTGCAGCCTGGGCAATGATCTGATAAGAGGTCATTTGCTCTGCAAATGGGGGAAAAAACCTGACAAAAGGAACCCTCTCTAGTTTTCTGGAAACTAAAAGGACAGGAAAATACTAAGTCTTGCAAGATAGTTGTTAGCCCTTGGAGATACCCCAGAAAAGAACCACAACCAGGAGCATCAACACTATTTTTAATGTAAAGTTACATTAAACAGAATATTTCAAAATTCTTCCTTCCTCTCTTTTTGTTAAGCCTTCCTTTCTGAGGGTTTAGCAACAGATTTAAAGCCAACTGGAGAAATTGGCATTTTTATCTTTGAAATTTGATAGCATAATCAGAATATATTTTGGGACAACCCAAAAGCAGTTAGGCCTTGGGATTTGGCTGATTATAAAACAGATTGTTACTCAGTTTATTGATCTTTCCAGTAAAAATAAGGTTGTTTACAGGAAACGTTGGTATAAAATCCCCTATTTAAAATATCAAAATAGCAGATGTAGTAAGCAGTAACAAGATTTATTATCTCCAGTAAGTTGGTAGTCAATATCTCCCCTCACCCCAAGCACATACTTCCCATTTTAATGGACATTTTGGAAAACTCTTTCCACTGATGGAATTTTTTTTTGTTTTCTAAAATGCCCCTCAGGTATGTTGATTTGAGGAAAGAGAGATGGTACATATCATCTGATTCCAGAGATCTTGCTAAGTCTCCCACTTTCTTCAAAACTGTGAGCTGCACCTCAAAGAGAACCACAACATTAAAAAATACCCTTTGGGGGCAACTTATCTTTACAGCTGAATAGTGTATTAAGTCTCCTTCTTTTTCTGCAGATTTACACCACAAGAAGATGATAAAAAGAAAGAGAAGGAAGAAAAGAAAAAATCTGATCAAAAGAAAGAACAAAAGGATAAGGATAAAAAGGAGCAAGAACTCAGAAAGAAATTCAAGGTAAAACGTCTTTCAAGAAGGTCATGCAAAGAACAGGAATAAATATATACATTTATCAACCAGTGGAATAGCTTGTTTCCAGGAGTTGTGGATGCTCCATCACTGGAGGTTTTCAAAAATAGATTGGACAACCATTTGACTCGGATGGTACAATGTCTCCTGCCTTGGGCAGGGGGTTGGATTAGAAGACCTCCAAGGATCCTTCCAGCCATTAATACTATATTCTGGGTTTTTAAAGTTGCTAAAATAACCCCTTGGCATTTTTACTTAACAGCAAAAGCTAATATTTTAATGCCTGCTTAATCAATTGAGTTAACCAAATTTATAGCAATAGCATTTAGATTTATATACCGCTCCATAGTATTTTACAGCATTTTGAGCAGTTTACAGTGTCAGCATATTGTCTCCAACAATCTGGGTCCCCATTTTACCAATTTTGGAAGAATGGGAGGTTGAGTCAACTTTGAGCTGGTCAGGATCGAACTCCAGACTGTGAGCAGAGTTAGCCTGCAATACTGCATTCTAATCACTGAGCTACCAGGGCTCAGCAGATATTGATAGAGCAATTCATTATAAACTATAAATAAGCAAAACATGCAAGCAGCCAACAGAGAATATCTGGAATTTTGAGATCTTATTGTGTGTTTTCATAAAATGGCTATCTTCTGGTGAAGTTGCCATGGTAGATGGATTCAGTCACAAAAATTCTAATTATCATAATATCATTTGATGAAGTTGATCTTCACTACAACCTCCAGCTTTCCAAGATGCTCTCTATAAACTCTGTTGACATTTGCTCCTTTTCCACAAAAAAGCACTATATGTCTTTATATCAAAAGACATTATATCAATGTATTTTAAGAGGTCTTTTAGTTACAGTTATTCCCCAACTCCAGAATTAATATTTTGTAATTGATATCACAAGTTATCTAGCAGAAATTGCCATTTCATTTGTTCTTTTGATTTTTGATCCCAGATATTAATTAGTTTATTAACTAATTAAACTTAATTAATTTAATTTAAGTAGTTTAAATAAGTTAAACTTAACTACCGGTAGCAAATTTTCTTTATTATTTATACCTTTGATAAATAACAAAACCAGCTTATTCAATAAAAAAGTAGATAATAGTCATAGCCCACTGAATCAAATGCTGGACCTTTTTGTCTTTATTATTTTATTGAAAAAAAAAACAGCATAGCCATGTGAAGACACTGCATTGTCACAGTCATTCTAGGAAGTGCTGCGGATCAATCTCTGAACAGAATCTTAAACTTCTGTAAGCATGTCAGGTGTTTTTGCTGAAACTCCTCTCCCTCCCCTGCAAATATCCTTGTCATCTCATGCATTTTCAAAAGTGAACTGAGTGATCCTCCACCCCATTCCAAGCAAGGAGGAAAGAACACCACCCAGATTTTGTTCCCACTTGAGTTTTTTCCTCAGCTGGCAAAAAAATCCCTTGATTCAGAGGACACAGCCAAGTGAGGTTATCGAAGCAGAAGAACATTTAAGCTTCTTCTTGCAGCTTTACTACAGGCAATGGAGACTGCATAAAGCTTATGGGGTGGAAGGGTTTCATTCTCATAAAACACGTGTTTTAGTATTATTTTGAATATTATCTTTCAAGCTATGTTTTGGTTTTTTCCTTCTCTAACTCTCTGAGTACTAAAACTAACCATGTATCTTCATCTTTTATGTAGCTAGAAGGTCCCATTGAAGTTGTTCACCAGGCACGAGCTTCTACAGACTTTAAAGGAGGAAAGTATGATCTGTCATTCAAGCAAGGAGATCTAATTGAAATACTCCGCATCACAGACAATCCAGAAGGGAAATGGTTAGGAAGATTAAAAGGCTCCTGTGGGTATACTATAATTTGTGGAAATTAAGAGAATTTATGCTAACATACCGATTAAAGAACCTGAATCTTCACTAGGATATAGTTCTTGGGTCTTTGCATTTGCTTCTTTATGTGTTACATTTATTTATTTGTTAAATTTATATGGCCATCAGTCTCACACATGGTGAATCTGGGCGGTGTACAATAAAACCAACAATTAAAACTTATTGCAAAACCAATTAAACACTTAAATACTTAAACATAAATAAGAACAAATCTTATCAAAATCAGAATGTTATACATTGTGTAGTCAAGGCATAGGCCTCCTGCTGCCTTATGAAAATAAATCCACACACATTTTGAGGCCCTTCTGAAGGCCATAAGGGTTGGGGCCAACCTCAACTCAAAGAACGAGTGCCATGGCAGAAACAGTTCACCTTCCGTAACTGAGAGAACCGAAACATGCCTCTCCAGCCAAATCTTTGCTGTTCTCTTCTGCCATATCATTGCTGTTCTTGTTCACCCCACTTTTCAGAATTGTGAGAAATTCTAATGGTGATATAATTATAAACATTTGACTTTTGTTGGTGGTGACTTTTGTTGGTGGATAGCTTTATTCACCCAACTTAGACATGGACTATAACCACTCAGAAGGAACAAATGCATACACTGGCTCACATAGACAGGAAGGTTACCCCCAAATCCTTCCCTTTCTCTTCAAGTAGGAAATGGCTTGCCCCTCTAAAAACAAACAGGGTGAAACATCTACCCTTCCCCCTCAGATTTAAGCTAGAATTTGCACATATCACATATTGGTAAAGGCACTGTTTCAAAAGTTCTTTATACTTTATAGAAATAGGAAGATGTTAACCAAGAACTGTATTCTTTATTTATATTGATGTGCATGTTTATGTTTACTTTAATATTTATTATATTTATACAATCATAGTTATTATGTGTTGGATGCTTCTTGGAATCTTAGATCACAGAACCATCATAGTCTGAGATCTTCAAACTTTTTAAATGGGAAATTCTGTTATAGCGCTCTTAGCAATATTACTAGCATTGTATTTTTTTACTTCCTTCACCATGTGAGCACCAATTTTTGCTTTTTTTATATAATAAAGACTTGTGATATTAATCTAACTCTCAAAGGAGGGATCCCTTTGTCTTACACTCCTTGTACTATAGGTGTACGTAGACATGCTACAGAATTAATTTTATTTTTATCAGCTTTTGTTTTTTCAAGCCAGTGTAATGCATAGATTGTGGGCTACCTTCATATCTCACATGCTGGACTTAAGAGGAGCTATTATGCTAACACTTGGTATTCATAAAATTGTACCTGGACTGTCTGGCTTCAGAACACATATGAAAGGTTACATAATGGAAAAATATTGTGCACAATGTTTATAGAAAATTAATATAGGAAGGAAAAAAATTCTAATTCAATTTTTCCTGTGACAAACTTGATTTCCATGTACTATGTCTTATTTTAATTTTGTATCGAGAAAACATAAACTACAGTATCCTGGTACTGTTCAAAATTAGATTTATAAACTCACTGAGAACAATCTGCAAAACAGGGCAATTATTTTTCTAATTCAAGTAATATATTCTGCATCTGTTGAATTAATGGGATACTGCACTACCTCTTTGTTCTATACAATACATTTTGCATGATGATTTTTCAGTTCATATATATATATATATATATATATATATATATATATATATATATATATGTATATATATATACCGAAACAACCATGTCACCAAATGATATTTGTTGTAGATGGCTACATTAAAACTACCATGGTGGCAATTGACTATGATACATTAAAAAGGAAGCCACGGCCTCCCATGCACGTTCTGTCAAAGCACCCAGACAGTGATCAAGAAGTGTATGATGACGTTGGAGACCAGGATAGTATCAGCAGGTATGTCATAGATTTGTGAATAAAGTGATGAACACCATGTCCAACCCCTAAATACAATCATCAATTCTAGAGTAATGTGCAGTCCAGCCTTTTATGCTAATTCATCTTTCCACATTTTTAGACACTCTCCAACCTGTTTTTTCCCTGGAGGACTATAACAACAACTGTACAGATGCCACTAAATATTACTTTTCAAAACAATACATATTTTAATTCCAAAAGGGTAATAAATGAGAAGCTGACATGCTGTAACACTGCTGTAAAGCATGTTTTAGCCTTTGAATCCAGATTGTTGCACAGCCTTAGCTTACTTTAAGAAAACATTATGTTAAATCTGACCAAGTCAATAAAACAGCCATTGGCTAGGTTTGCATAGCACACTGGCTAGAATGTGACCAGCTTTGTGCCAATAAACTATAGAAAAATACATGGATCAGTTAAGCATCTGTAAGCATCTTGTACAAGTAAAACTTTTCTGTATAGAACACAGCACCCTTGTATCAACCCATGGCAGGTTCTTGAAATTCCTAAGACGACTATTAGTCCAGAAAATATTGTCATTTTTCTCAAGAAACAGTTATAGAGATTAGCGACAATATGAAAAGAATTGCTGAGAGTGATTGATCATTAACATGACTATGCATGCATGTGAAAATATATCTTTCTTTTGCATTCAACATTTTGTTTTGCTTTATTTTTATGTGCAAAGTGGAAGTCAGAGTGCCATGGGAGGTAAGTTCTCATTTTATTAATGTCTTGAAATAATAATTATCCCCAGCATTGCATGGTTCTTTTGTGATGTTCTTTTTAACAATGGAAACTAGAACTGATCCATGTGAAGCATAATCTGTATTTCCAACAATGCCTCTGAGCCCCACATAGATCCTAGAGGCATTCTTGGAAAATAAAATGGTGGATAGGCTATTGTGCAAGGCTTTGTTTATCTTTAGGTATGTGAGGAGATTGTGATTGAGCAAACAACTTTTATTGTCCCCAAAAGATTGGAAACCCTTCAGTTACAATGTTTGTCATCCATTCCAGCATGACTAAGCATGTGTTTAAATGTTAGGCAAATCAATGATTTGCTTAATAATGACTGATGGAATTAACCCCAAATGTCTGAATTCACACAAGATTCTCAGCTATAAACAATGGATTACCAGTTAACTGGAGTAGTTTAGAATGGGAGTGGCTCCATCTTAAGAAAGTAAACTCAAAATAAGATGATCTCATAATAACATTTCAGCAGTTATACTTCAGAGTAAAATGGTAGCTCATGTTTATAATAATTAGAAAATAACTTGTTTAAGCAAGAAAAAAATAGTCAATTTATACATTAATGCTCTTTTTACTAAAATGTTTAGCAAATCAAAACTTCTTTCTCTGACTTCTACTCACTGAACACCAAGCAAAGTCAGAAAAGTTTGCCCTGTGCTAAATGTTCACCTTTATTCTTTAAACAATGAGCATGAAAACTTAATGAAGAGAAGGACAAGGGGTGACATGATAGCAATGTTCCAATATCTCAGGGGTTACCACAGAGAAGAGGGAGTCAAGCTACTCTCCAAGGCACTTGAAGGCAAGACAAGAAGCAATGGATGGAAATTAACCAAAGAGGAAGCAACCTAGAACTAAGGAGAAATTTCCTGACAGTTAAAACAATTAATCAGTGGAACAATCTGCCTCCAGAAGCTGTGAATGCTCCAACACTGGGAGTTTTTAAGAGACTGGACAGCCATTTGTCTGAAATGGTATAGGGTTTCCTGCCTGAGCAGGGGGTTGGACTAGATGACATCCAAGATCCCTTCCAACTTTTATTATTATTACTATTATTATTATTATTATTATTATTATTTACACTTTAACTTTTTTAACAATAGCTGCAAATGGAGAGAGATGATAATTACTGAATCTATGAGCTATATTATTCATTTGATCAGGTTCTTCCTAGATACTGTAATTATTCAGTATGACTTAATCCAGTAGTAAATCCATCCAAGACATTCCATTGCAGAAGGGAGAACCAAGGATGTGCTAATTCTTAATGGGCAACAAGATATCAGCTTAGATTTCATTCTCTTAAAGGAGGGATATTCTTTTCTGAGTGGGAATGATGTGATCTGTACTCCAACATGTGTGGAAAGCCCCAGGTTAGGCAAGGCTGAAACTGAAGATTTCTTCTGTGAACTAGAATATCTGTTCATTTTAAGTTTGAACTCAGTAAGATTTACTTCTGAGTAGAACTGTATTGGATGCATGGTAAATAACCTTAAATGTAGTAGGGTATATGTATTTATATTTTAACTGTTCTGCTGTTATTCCTTATACTTATAAACTTCTCTTGTTGAAAATTTTCAAACTAAAAGGTGAATTGATTCATAAACTTCATTTCTCCCTATTTCTTCCCCATCCTGTTAAAATAGGGTTTCCGCCACCTCCACCAGATGACATTTATGACGGTGTGGATGATGATGAGGTTCCAATAAAGTAAGTATAAATTACCCACAAAGTGTTAGCTCAAGATACAAATGTGTTAGGAAATTAGCAAGTTACACACTGAGTGAATTTTGCAAGGTGTTGAAAATGAAATTATATACATGTTTAACCATAAATTGGTTTCTGAACTCAATAATATGAATATTTCCTTCACTAGGTCCCATGGAATTAATTGACATTTCCTCCTATTTATACAGGTTTAGAACTGGGCTACAGTCACAAGTCATATGTGATTCTCTCCTTTGTTATTATTACTGTTGTTGTTGTTGTTGTTATCTTAGCCCATTTCATGCATTATAGAGCAACTAATCCCAATGTACCTTCATATGGACACTCAAGAACATTATTTATGTTTCCAAATATATCTTAGTTGATACACACATTATGTTGAGATGTACATTTTAAATGTTCCAGGCATTTATATTTCATATGGAAAATTATGGTGTATATTACTGTTAATGCTAATGCTACCCATAGCAAACTTAATTAAGGTATGCTAGCCATATTACTAAACACATGTATTCAGATGCATTTGTGTGCATGCACAATAGGCACTCTTCATAAGATTATGGTAGGAAATATATTTGCAACCTATTGATTTACCTCTGGGCACAACTGTCTAAAGTATTAACTTCAAATAAATGTTTTTCAAACTCACCAACTTAAAGATTGTATAGATTTCAACACATTTCCATATATCTTGAAATTGTGAAGTTGAAAGACACAGCTCTAAATAATCTGCAAGTGGCTCCCTGAATGCATATTTCAACTACTCATTTAAATCACTAGGCCAAAGTACTTGCTAATTTTTTTTTTTTATTTTATCTGCTATGTAATAATTGTGTGCATACTTCAAAGATCTGTGTCACAGGATGAAGAGAAGAGTGACACCTGGTCCAAGGGGCTTTTGAAGATTTTAAAGGGAAAAGATTACCAAAAGAAAAGTATGCGAGAGACAGCACCCAAAGTCAGTGTGACAGAAGATGAAAAATCCTTGTAAGAGACTGCTGTGAAAAGTAACACACACACAGCTCACTAAAGCTAATAACATGGATTCATTGATTTGCGCTCTACTAACCACTTCTCACAGCAGCCTAATCAGCCACAAATCAAATATGCATGAGATAACTCAAGCTATGGAAATACCACTTGACTATAAAAAGCTGGGCCCTATTCTGTCTGTGACTTGACATCTTTTAGCTGTTATGGTTGAATGTTAGGAGACATGGTTTTACTATGAAGCAAGGAGAGATGGCTTCTACCGAGAGTAGATTCAATGTACCAATCTGTGTTGCAGAATGAGGACCAGGCAGACCTGATCTACTGGAACCAAAAGTATTGCCTTTCAATAGCTCCAATTCACATTAGCTAAGTTTGCCAAGGAAAACATGCTGGTGGAGTGTGACTCCTAGTGGAACAGTGTGGATTTCATAAGATCTTTACTGCTAAATAGGAAGCACTTATCAGCATGCTCCTACTTTAATTATATTGCTTTAATAGCAACAGCAACAATAATATGTTGCGTTTATATAAAGTTCTTCAAATTATTTCAGGCCAAGATATTTATTTCACAGTGGTATAATAGCTTTAGAAATAGAAGCCCAATTATAGCCAAGAAACAAAGCCAAGAACAGTTCGTGTGTGAAATAGGTAGAGGTTCTTGCTATTAGAATATTTATAGATTGTGTTATTTAATTATTTAAAGCAAGGATAAATATTTTATGGCTCTCTTGATGTTGAAGCTACCAACCTTAGTCTACAGGTTCAATGACAAAATTCAAGATATTTATAATCCGAAGACCTTCGTGTTTAGCCAGATATGATTTAAAGCTGGGATAATATCAATCCTTCCATTTCACATTATTAATTAAGGTTGTTTCTAAATTTATTTCTAGAAGAACGCCTTTAGCAAAAGAAACAGGGAAGGGTAAGTCATTGGATGAAATTGTTTGTGAGTGAGTTGAATTAGAACTACTATATCTGAAATACAGAAATCTGGACAATCTGAAGTTGGCAGCAAAGAGATCTAAAAACATTGTAGCCTTTTGCTGCCATCTCATGGTTGTGGCTTTTTACTGCCTGAATACAATATTTTCAATGTAGTATTTCTCAAACTTGGCAACTTTAAGATCTGTGAACTTTATCTCCCAGAATTCCTCAGCCAGTTATATTTGAGAAACACTGGTTTAATTTGTATTAATCATTGATATTTTCTTGTATGCAAAAACCTATGGTCCTTTTTCTTCTTCCACCTGTTATCCAGCTATTGGTTAACATATTGTATTTCCTTCCATCATCTCAGAAGCTTTCCATTAAACAACAGACAGAGAAGAGTCATTTTGCTTCTAGCACAGCGGTTCTCAACCTGTGGGTCGTGACCCTTTCACAGGAGTTGCCTAAGACCATCGGAAAACACATATTTCCAATGGTCTTAGGAACCGAGACACCATTCCGCATCTGTTTCCGCATGGCCTCCTCCGCCATTTGCAGAGAGAGAGAGAGAGAGAGAGAGAGAGGCACTTTCGCTTCCCTTCTCTCTCTCTCTCTCTCAGGCGGACTTACCTCCTGCAGGGCTCCTGATTGGCTCTGCGCCCAGGTGCCCCACCCCCTGGGAGAAGCGCGGCCAGGGCCTCGTGGCCTTGGAGCTGCCCGGGGAAGCCCCGGGATCCCTGCTGGGAGCGGCATCACTGGAGGTTCTGCTGAGCAGGCCAGCCCTCCCACAAGCCGCGGCCCAAGGGAAACCAGCTCCTGTGATCCCCAGCCAGCCCGACCATTGGACCCACTGGCCAGGAAGGTGTGCCGGAGTCCAGGCTGCCAGGAAGGAAGAAGGAGATTCAGCAAAGGTAGGAGAGGAGAGCCGCCTCCTGGGGCCCAGTGCTGGTGGCAGCTTCCTTGCCATCCTCTTCCTCCTCCCCTTCTCCCTCCTACTGCCCCCAAGGCGGCTCGGGCAGACGCCGGGGCAAAAGAGGTGCTTGAGGGGGGAGCAGCCGGGCAGGCAGAGGGGCTGGCAGGGGCCACGTGGCACCAGCCTCCATCGTGGCTCCATCAGATGGGCGGAGGGTGAGGCCGGGCAGTGCGGAGTCCCAGCTGGGGCGGTGGTGGCAGTTTTCTTGCCCTTCTCCTCTCTTTCTTCCTCCTGCTGCCCCCAAGGCGGCTCAGGTGGGCGCCAGGAGGAAGAGGGTGCCTGGGGGGGAAGCAGTCGGGCTGGCAGAGAGGCTAATGGGCCATGCAGCACCAGCCCCCACCATGGCTCCATCAATGGATGGAGGACGAGGCTGAACAGTGCAGAGTCCCGGTGGGGGTGGCAGCTGGGCCGGGATCAGAGGGGACCCCCGACGATGCAGCAGTGGCCACCGCCGCCAGAGCCGCTGCCTCACTTCCTGCTCCCCCTCCCCACCCGTTTGGCTGAGGACACAGTAGAGGGCGGGCCGGGGGTGGTGGAGACCCCCGACAATGCTGCCGTAAGAGAGAGAGGAAAGAGAGAGAAACAGAGGAAAAGAGAGAGGAAAGAGAAAGAGAGGAAAGAGAAAAAGAGAGAGAGGAAAGAGAGAGAGAAAAAGAGAGAGGAATGGCACTTCTCCAACCAGGCTGGGCGGAGCTGGTGGAGCGTCCTTCCTGCCCCCCCTCCCCAGCCAGCTGGATGGGGGGTTGGGAGTCACCACAACATGACAAACTGTATTAAAGGGTCGCGGCATTAGGAAGGTTGAGAACCACTGTTCTAGCAGAAGCAGCAGAATACATTTCAACTCCACCCACCTTGCATCTATAATGGTCTCAGTCCTGACAGGCTTGCCTGGTATACATACAATAATAAAAACAAAAATGATGACATCAATAACATCTGCTTATATCATTATGCACAGAAGACCTTTCCTTAAAGGAAAAGTCTTCATCAGCACCATAACGATTATCTTAATGCTAGCAGGAAGAGAGAGGCCTACTCCATTGATTTCTCTGCCATTCATTCTAGTCTCATTCAGTTGATCCTGGGGGGTTTTTTGGAAGAGGATCAGAGAGGAATGGGTCACACTCCACCCAGCTTAAATTCCTGAGCTGAGTCTTTTAGGTGCATCGTCTTGCTAATATAAACCTGTTGTAAGTTTTATCTCACAAAACAATAAGTTTGGAATTGTAGAAAAGATGTATTGTTCCTCCATGCTGACCCTGAATAGCTTACTTTCTATTCAACCCAGTTTAAATTCAGGCAATTCCTGAGTTAGAACATCCAATTTAAGGACAAGTCCTTGATACAAATGTACTACTCCTAAAAATAGTAGATGGCATCCCCCTTCCTCAGGCCGATGAAATGTTAAGCCGGGAAATGCTTTCGGGAACTGCTAAAGTTGTGTGTTTTTAGTATACAGCCTGTTTTTAGAGGTTCCTAAATTGTGCAGCTTCAGCACTTTGTCAGATTGAGAAAGGAGAATGCCATCCACCATTTTTAATAAAAGGCAGTTTGTAAATGCAAGTTATGACTTAAAGGCAACTTTGGATTAAAGACAGAGTTAGGGAATGGAATTCATTCTTAACCACAAATGGGACCAGCAACTTGATCATTAAGGGAAGTGGCTGCTAAGTGAAACTGTGACTGTGCTTGAGTTTTTACTTCAGCTTTCCTTTGCTTTACAGACCTGTGAAGTTTGTAAATGCAAGGATTGGTCATAAAGTGACTTTTTTATCATCTGTAACTGGGAAGGCCACTAAATGAAGCAGCTACTAAACAGAAACTATCTGTAACATTTTTAATGTTATCTGTAGTTTGAGGCCAGAGACTGTTGGAAGGGACATTTTGGGCTATCTGCAGCAACAAGCATAATACTCCTTAGGCAACAAATAGTGACAAGCAGCTTTGGGCCTATATGATATTCAGTGAATTATTTTGAAATGGGTTGCTGCTTCTAAACAATTCCTGGTTTCAGATTCCAGCTCAACGAGATTAATAGCATCTAGTAATGCACAACACAAGCCACAACTCAATCCAGAAATATATACAAATAAGCCAGCAGTGCCGTGAAATGCATTAGCTAAGTCTTAATTAACTTGGTCAGAAGGTTTCTAGAGTGTTCAACACCTCAACACTGTTAATATAGGAAAGATCAGATAATAGCCTGGTTTATATTTGTCATGGCATATCATAACACCAAATTCACTGTTACAACATATTACTCAAGGTACTTGGCCACGTTTACATGACAAATGTCATGGTAACTTTTGCCTTGTCTAAGCTTTATTTGAATGGCTAAACACAATCCAGGAAACAAAAACTGGTTTATTTTTAAACTGCAAACTTCAGTGAAGCAAAATTTTAAGATAACGTAAAAATAATGTCTTGGTTTAAAGTATGGCTTTTGTCTAAAAGTGAAATCCTAATTTATTATTTTTGTCCAAATTTATCACCGAACTATATGTATAAACATAACCAATGATAATTATTACTTTTTCTTCAAATCTATCTTAGATTCCGGAGACAGTGATGTTTACGATGATGTTGAATCCTCTGACTTCCCTCTCCCACCAAAAGAAATTAGGCAAGTTAAAATAACTTAAAAGGTTTTTTGTTTGTTTGTTTTCTTTTGTACAGGGTGGGGGCTGGTTGACTTGCTGTATAAACTAGTAAGTGTCTTTTAAAATACTAAAAATGTGAATCCTGGGCATTATGCTAACAAATAAAAGAAAAAACGAACACCAGGATATAATAAACCAGCCTGTTTAATATAAACAAGCCTGTGGTTAAGAAGAGTCACTAAGCTTTCATCCGGCCAAAAAACTGCCGGCGTCATCAGAGTCAGAATAGCAGGAGATCGGGAAGGCAGCTCATATAGCCTCCTGCCTCTGCGCCCAGCTCCTTGAGCGTGTCATCGGCCTGTTGATTGTGTTAATCCATACTGCACAGAGTTGTTCCGCATCAGGCAAACTGTTTTTGACTCCACTGGTTGTTTTACAATCCTCAAGTGCTCTTTTAGAGCGTGTGCAAGCACTTGGAGGGTGGCTGTCAATCCGTCCCTGCACCCAGTCCCCCTCCCTCCCAGAGCCATTATCCTCCCCCACCCCCAAGGCCGTTGTTGTAATTCCTCCACCCCAGTCCTGCAACAAGCAGCTGTTCTGGCATTCCTGCTCTCTGTCTTCCCCTTCCCTCCCCCTCCTTCCAGATCACCTCAGTGCTTCCGTTCCTGGCTTAGGGCCATTTGGTCCATCATCTCGGTCCATGGGAGTCGTGGTTGTCCCAGCTATAGAGCCATCGTCCCAATTATGTAAAACGCTGTCATCTTCTTCCTTAGAGATCATGCCTGTCTAACAAATAATTTACAGCAAATTAAAAGGTGGTTTTTTTTTTTGTTCGTTTTCTTTTGTTCAGGGTGGGGCTGGTTGACCTGCTGTACAAACTGGTAAATCTAACAAATAATTTACAGTTGTCTATAAATATACCAATGATGGGATTTTTTCTTTTGTCCTAATGTATTATTTTAGCCTTGGGAAAAATATAAAATCTTTGAACTTTGGGAGGGGCAGATCTGATGAACGTGATTCACAGAAGTTTAAGAAGATTGACAAAGAAGAGAAAGATTTTCGAAAAAAATTCAAAGTAAGTATTTGTTTGATTGATTGTAAACATCAATGTGTTAAATAAACAGATAAACAATCTTAAACATATCAATGCAACATATGATCATTATATAATTTCCCAGCTTCACAAGAGCCATAAATACTGACAAGGGATCCAGTTGATGATTCCTAACTATGCATTTTAGTCCCATACCAAACTAGTGAAATGGGTAAAAGTGTTGACCAAGCACTTGGAGATTGTCAGGACTTAGAAGGGGAAGAACAGGCTTAGACTGAATCCCTTCAAGGTGTTTTGTTTATTTTTCTGAGCTGAATTCCAGGAAAAATTTGTTTTTGTGTCTGAAAAAAGGTGGTTTTCAAGCTGGCAGGATCACAGATTGCAGTTGTGGCCAGGGGGATTTTTGTATAGTGACATTTTATTTTTGCAGCAATTGCAACAATTCTGAATGAGGAAGCCCTTTACAGTCACCTATGCCTTACAGTAGTTACTCTGCTTGGATCATAAATCATAAATCAGAAGTTACTTTTTACTCAAAAAGTCCATAAGATGCTTCCATTTTCATTGAATTGAGTGGGGTTCATTTTCTGATAGTAATATTTAGGTTTAGTTAGACTCTTTAAAATCTTAATTCACAAAAGTTTGCCAAAAAGCATTTCAAAAAGTTGCCTTAGAGAATAATTACTCTTCTTTCATTCCCCTGGGAAAAATATGAAAGTAGTATATTTCCCCAGTGTAAACACTGTTAGCAAAGCATTTTGTAGGTCTGATAGCAAGAGGAAGTCATTCAATAGTCTCAGAGGAGTGTTCAAGTCTTGATCCAGAGGAAGTGGAAATCTCTGAAGAACATGATGTGTTGTTTGGTTTGAAATTCTCTGTGAATCAAAAAAAATTAAAAAAAAGGATGCAGCTTTGTAGGGTGTTACTGCATTATGTGTTTCCTCGCTCACCTGTCCACTACATCTGCTCTTCTGAATTTGTAAAACCCAGTACACATAGGACTGGATTACACTACTGATTAATTAAAGAAGTCCTCTGATAAATCAGACTAAAGACTAACTAGCTTAGCTTCTTTTTCCACTTTGGTGAAACAAAAACCTCTGAGAGGGTCACCAGCAGGGTAGGGGGGCATTAGGAACTTTCCACTCATGTTCTTTAGTGACTAGTCTAGAGACTTAAACTGTGTCTCATATTGGAAGTAAAATATTACCATCCTGACTACTAGTTTTAAATAACTTATTCTCCCAGTATCTGTCTAGGCCTCTTTTAAGGCCATCTGACATGGTGGATGTCATCATGTCACACTGTACATTTCACAGCTTCTTCACTCAACGTAAAGAAAAAAAATTCTTTTATCTATCATAAATCACCTGGATAATCACTAGAAGTTTATTCATAATCTCATATTCCTTTTCTGACACTATGTATATTGGGGATATGGTCTTCATTTATGGTCTCCTTTTATCACTTTTTTTTCCTAGTCTAAGAAACCCCAAATGTGCACTGTTTTCTCACAGGGGAATTGTTCTAAAATTCTGATTGTGCCAACACTGTAATGTCCTTTTAGGGAGTGTAACAGTGGTGGGATTCAGCCAGTTTGCACCAGTTTGGCAGAACCGCTAGCTAATTTTTTATTGCCCAGGCCCAGAATGGACTTCTGGAAGCGGCATCCACACAGAACTGGTTGTTCACATATTTGAATCCCACCACTGGAGTGTAATTGTATATAGGAAAAACCTTGGGAGATTGGGCAAAGAGATACTGCCAAGGGAATGATCAAATAAGAGTCAGCATAGCCCACAACCCTCATAGTGGTTGGGACAAGAAGCTCAGAAGAGACCCTTGGACTGTAAATGAGACAGATTGGGGGGGGGGGAGATTCTACTTTCAGACATGAAAGAGTCTATCAATAAAGCTTTACAATAAAGTAGAATTACAGTAGCTCATCTAGTTGTGATTCCTATCTGTTTTACCCTGGGAAGCTAACAGGTACAGTGTACTCTGTGGTTTTAGGAATAGGATGGAGAAGCAACAGATGGGTCACTGACTCACTGCTCAACTGAGATAGTCTTCTGATATAGATCCTATCCAGTCCCTAATAGCTGAACAAAGATCACTCACTATCTAATCAAATCAACTTGTACTGTATCCTTTGAGAGGGGAAGTCAAATAAATATCAGGTAATAGCCTAATCTTCCAACAAGATTACATTTTATTCAACTTATACAAAGCCAAAAGTATAATTTCAATTGATGTTTAACTTTTTTTTCAAATAATACATTTTATTTCCACAGTATGAAGGTGATATTCGAGTTCTGTACACTGCTACCATATCTAAAGCATCATCGCCAAAGAAAAGAGGTTCCAAAGATTTGCAAGTCAAGCCAGGAGAACTGGTTGAGATTATTCAAAATGTGGATGATACTAAAGTGCTTTGTAGGAATGAAGAAGGAAAATGTAAGTACTAACACAGAATGGAAGAAAATAAGTTTTGAAAAGCAGAAGTGGGCATTGTAACTGTCCAAATATTGTTAATGCTTATGGCCAAACATAAGAAATGATGGGATCCAATAACAGTTAAAGGACAATAAAAGTATACAGAATTTTTGTACATTCAAGATCACTGTGGGCCATAGAGGCATTACCAGCAATGGCCATAATGATTTTCAGATTAATTACAGAACATAATTATTATGAACACTGCTGAATATTTTTACTTAATAAATAATATGTCCTTACTAAGCTTCTATTGCTGTTTTTACATTGAGATATATCTATTGATGGCTGAAATCATCTGCAGCAAAACAAACCCCTCCTTTCTAAAAGGAAAAATTGGTTACAGAGAATATTCATCTATATCTAGAGGGAAGGGCTAGGTTCATAGGTCACACTAAGCCACAGCTTGTTTAACCAGGTCTTGTTCATTAAACTAAATTTGGATAGTTTTATTATAACTATAAGTCAAATTTTATAAACTATGTTGATTCAAGGTCAAGCCAAACACATCCCATTATTCACTTAACGTGATTCATAAATCTAGATATTTAAGTGTTTCTTAGCCACAAATTTGGGGAATTGCTAGGTTCTTGGCCAGCACCAGCCTGAATACAGTTCTGAATACTGTGCTAAGAGTAGTAGCTGTTTTGTGTTGAAAGAAATAAATTGGCCTGGGTATGTATGTGAGCATTCCTCTGAGGCCAAATATTAAAGTTAGCAAAGTCAGTTTATAAGAGAAAGTAGATTTATTTAAGGCAATTGTCAAAGTGTGACTGATGGTACTTTTACAGTGGGGTGTGCATATGACTTTAAGCAGAACATTTGCTTGACAGAGACAGAGACTTTTTTTGTTTCCATTACTATATACAAGTAGATTTACAGGAATAAGGGGGGGAGGGTAATAGACCTACTGTATTTACAGTAATGTGTTCGAACTTCCCAGTACAAAGTTTCTTCCTCCTTCCTATCTCTCTAAAGCCTCTAACTTTATATTTTTCCCAGAGCTATTTGCTAGTGACTGCCCATTTCATTCAGTGGTGGGATTCAAATATGTGAACAACCAGTTCTCTGTGTGGATGCCACTTCCAGAAGTCCATTCTGGGTCTGGGCAACAAAAAATTAGCCACCGGTTCTGCCAAAATGGCCCACCACTGATATCATTGCTTAGTTACCAGCGCCCTCCTTTCTCCTCCTCCTGTTTACTGTTAGCTTGTTTGGCAGTTCCTTGATTGTGGTGTTGTTCACTTTTTGATTGTTGGTCTGATGTCTAAGCTTGGAGTTAAGCTATGCTCATCTGGGTGTTGATTACTGGTGGGGAGATGTTTTGGTCTTTTTGTTCCCATTTTGGCTTGTTGATTGTCTCTTTTGCATAGTATGTAGATGTTGTTTATTTCCATGTGTCTAGATTTCATGCATGGATGCTTTGGAACAAAGGGGCAGAAGGAAGATTTTGAGATTAGCAGTCTCAAAAGACAAAAGAGTGGGTAAAGTGAAAGACAAGGGGGCACTGAGTGAATCCCTAACTCTCTGTTTACAACCCAACAGAAGGAATTGAAGAGTCAGTGCCACTAAGTCACACACTTTCAGTATAGTAATAGGAACAGTATAACAGAGTTGGAGGTCTTCTAGTCCAACCCCCTACTCAAGCAGGAGACCCTACACCATTCTGGATAAATGGCTGTCCAGACTTTTCATAAAGACCTCCAGTGATGGAGCACCCACAATTTCTGGAGTATTGTGCTACATGGATAATATCAAGGAGTTAAAAATCAATAAACATACTTGAGCAATGTTAATGAATGCACTCAGGGGCAATCTCCAGAATGCTGACTTGTTCTAGTAAAAGGAAAATAATGAGGCTGCAGAAATTTAGATGCAAAAGGTTTATAGTTCTGAATGAATGAAGCCTCTAGGAGAAAACAAGACAGGTTTGACTTTCGGTTATCTGTAATGCTCTTATCCCTTCATTTTTAACTGACAAAAATGAAAGCTTAATATTAGATACTACACTGTAGCATCTAATGTAACAACATTACCCATTCATCTTGTATGAAATAGAATGATTTTAAAAATGATTTTAAAATGTACCTTAGGGATCCTTATGAGTTGCAAGTCCTATTTCTGTATAAAATATCTTTACTGAAATAATAGATGTTTTGCTACTTATCATTTCTATATGGGGATGGAGGAAATCATAGGATAATAATAAGGCAACCTTTTCTACATTTGGGTCCTCCTGCACAAGTAGATTATGATGCCAAATTCTCCTGCCCAAAACGACCTCCAGAATTTTGGGAGTTGCTATCCAGCCCACCTGGAGAATCCAAAGTTGTCACTAGCAGAGAGAATAACTTTGAGGAACAGGAAGAAAGATTGCTATCAAAACAACGATCAGATTAAAAAAAATCTGAGTTGGGCCAAAACTGTAATCAGAATAAGCGTCTAAGGCTACACACACCTAGTTCTCATGAAGATAAAGGGAGTGAGGAGGGAAGTGCATTCAGACTTTCAAGATTCTGCTACAATAAAAGTAGAATTAGCATGAATGACTTTATCTTCAAGTTCTGACAAAGATTTGGTAAATATTTCATAGGAATATTACATTTTAGTCTTTGTTAGTTTGCCATCTTTGTGTGGTCATGGCTCATTCATAACAGTTTTTCTTTCTACATCTTATCACCTGTCTGATGCATTGGGACTTCAATTCCTAAATCTCTTTCCAGCATGGTGTAAAATACAGGAGTTGTAGTCCGAAAATATTGGGAGGGTAGTAAGTTATGGAAGGGAAACCTTACATGCACCATCTAATGTAGACAAAATATAATTTTGTTTGAATAATTCTTAGAATCCATTAAGGAGCCATGAGATGATGGTATTATGGCCAACTGCCTTTATTCAGCATCCTGCTGAATGAATGGCAATTTTAGCTTGCTTTTCTGAAGGCACCTGGTTCTCATGAATAAGTCTGTTTGTTACCCATCTCTTTCCCCAGGGAGGTATTAAGGATTGGAATTTTAGGAATGCAGACTGCTGCTTGTGTGACCTTACACTTTATTTCTCTACAAAGCCTCAGAAGCTGCCACTATAGCTCTGTTTTTTGCCTATTCCTTTAACTTCAAAACTCTGAACAGTAGGGGATACTCCTAAATCAGGGTAAAATTATATTATTTGCCTTCTGGAATCCAGATATGTAGCCCATCATTCCTCCCTTCAAGGACATCATTCACAAAATGATTTCAGTAAATATGATTGCATGCCAATGTCCTAAAGCAGAATCTGCCAATACTTTTGGTTCTCAGGGAGATTTCCTTTTAATATTTCATTCCTTCTGTGTTTTATCCAACATATCATTACGTGGTCTACCACATTAGAGCATAATCTGTGGGTTTGCAGGAGGTTTGCCAGATTGTGTGAGCCATGCCAAGAGGCTCAAGTGTGGTCTCCTATGTCCCTACCCACCCAAGCTCTGTGACCCACTGTCTGTCACCTGTTTCTATTTCCTCCTCCGATGCATGCTATTCCTGCTTGAAGAAAACTGAAACAAATTATGCTACAGAGTACAACGGATGTGCTGTAGTGGTCAGAGGTATGAAAAGGGGGCTTGGTGAGATGGTAAAGTTCAGGAAGCTAAAGATGGAGGGAAATACAAAGAAGAGAATAATTGCTTCAAAAAAGTTGTTGTATGCTTTAAAGAGTGAGAAAAAGACAGGTGAAGAGAATGTAGTCAAAGAGTGCAAGGAATGGTGAAGATTAAAAACACAAAGAAATGCAAAGCAGCTTTGATGGAAACATTTTGTTCTGGAAGTGAGTGAAAAGGGTTAAGGAAGGAGCCCCTGACAGAATAAATGGAATTCAAAATAAAAGTGGTAACAATTTGGGACTGCAAGTTGGAGGAGGGTAATATTTAGAGGAGTATTTGAGATAGGAGTATGGAGTAAGAATTGATTTAAAACAAATGCTATAATAAATGTGTCCAAGTAAAAACAGATGAAACGGAGTCCTAAATGATCTGTAAAATTGAAAAAATGGTAGTGATGATGTCATCGGAGAAAAGTCAAAATATGGATGTGGCTTGCTTAGGAAGTGGTTGTGTGATTTGTTAGCTACTTCTGTGCCTGATTATTACTCAAAGGGAAAAGAATGAATTCAGGGTGGTTTGTTTGTTAAGAGTGTCTGGGAAGGAGTATGGCAGAATCCTGACTGAAAGAATAAAAGTGGGGCAAATAAACAGCACATGTCAGATTATAATTCTACCAACCATATTTTTGCTTTTCAGTAGAGATATATATGTGTTGAGATATATATATCTGTGTGTATGAGTACTTTTAAAGGGAAAACTGAAGGATTTGGAAAAAATGAGCAACTAGATAACATGTTTGTTTCAAAGGTGCTTTTTCAAGAGGCAACTGGACTTTCTGTGTTTTCTTTGAAGATGTTTCACTTCTCATCCAAGAAGCTTCTTCAGCTCCAAATGGATGGTGGGGAATGGAAAGATTTATGATTATGAAATTAAATCCTTCCATTCCCCATCATCCAGTCAGAGTTGAAGAAGCTTCCTGGATGAGAAGCAAAACATCTTCAAAGAAAAACAAGAAAGTCCAGTTGCCTCTTGAAAAAGCACTTTTGAGACAACTATGACCTGGATGACTGAGAATCTCCATAGACATTTAGATACATGTTTATTTCATTATAGATTATTAACTAAAAAGGGAGAAATAGCTTATCTAAGAGATGTATATGGTAAAATATAAAGTGATAGGATGAAGACAGAATGGATGATGAATCAAAGTAGATGCGAAAGGTTTCAAGAGTAGATTCATCATAGATTTGTACAAAGGAGGAGCTGCATCTATAGTTAATGCAATGATTCCAAATTGACATGTGTGTGGATGACATCATGCAAATAATTGCCCTTACTTACTTATTTCCTGGTGTCTGAGGCAAATATGTCCATTGCACTA